TGGTGATTGTGGTGGTAGTGGTGATTTGGTGGTAGTTGTGATCGTAGTGGTAGTTGTGATCGTAGTGGTAGTTGTGATCGTAGTGGTAGTTGTGATCGTAGTGGTAGTTGTGATCGTAGTGGTAGTTGTGATCATGGCGGTAGTGGTGATTGTGGTGGTAGTGTTGATTTTGGTGGTAGTTGTGATCGTAGTGGTAGTTGTGATCGTAGTGGTAGTTGTGATCATGGCGGTAGTGGTGATTGTGGCGGTAGTGGTGATTGTGGAAGTGTTTTTGACACAATACTTAACTCTTTAGAGGGCAGGGGTTTTCTCGGCTGAATAACGTCGTCTACCGTTAGTCAGAATAAAATACTAAAGGGCTACAATATCCTGTAAAGGGTTAAGGGTGTCTTAGGGTATAACAGAGGCCTCACACAGCAGCTAACTCTCATTAATGATGGTAAATTACAATTTGTTGAGTATTGTGATTTATTTTATTAAATTTTTTTTTTCTGATTACTTTACTTTCACTTTCTTTAGATCATATTAATAAAACATCCCTTAAAAATGTTATTAATCCACTGTTATTGGTGTAGTAATTTAACCAAAGTTTGTAATTAGGAACAGTACAAGAATATGAGGTGCTACTAACAATATTAAACGCAGTGGGTAGTATTCATCTACAACAGTAGACACAGTGGGTGTTATTCATCTACAACAGTAGACACAGTGGTTTTATTCACCAACAACAGTAAACACAGTCAGGATGGTGGAGGAGTCTGGAAGGTGGGGGATGGGTCACGAGGGTGGGGTAGGATGGTGGAGGAAGGGTAAATATAGTTCCACTCCCACCAGATAACGACATCAACCATACATGGTTCCCAAAATTTACCAAATCTCAAAAGGTCCATTACCACCCTGACCACACGGCCAGGCAATAGACAACCTTCCTAGACCAGCAATCCGCCAGTAGGGTCGGCAGATTATGAAATCTCAAAACACCCATATATGGACAGGTAGGATGTCTAGTGCCTGTACCGGCAGACAATAACTAACCCATGACACAACCCAAAACTCTATCAGCTTATGAAGGGCCCCCTGCCTCCCTCCCAAATTTCTTCAATTGAATCCACCTTTCCCCACTCCTAATCTTTCACCCTCCGTTCTCTGCAAAGAGATTGTTCATGTGTGACACAAGAGTGGGGAGGGGTAGGGGGAAGGATGGAGAATGAGGAATTGTGGCGGGCGAGGCATCACGGTGTGTGGGGGCGAGGCATCACGGTGTGAGGAGGCATCACGGTGTGTGGGTGCGAGGCATCACGGTGTGTGGGGGCAAGGAGGCATCACGGTGTGGGGGACGAGGCATCACGGTGTGGGGACAAAACATCTCGGTGTGGGGGACGAGGCATCTCGGTGTGTGGGTTCGAGGCATCTCGGTGTGTGGGTTCGAGGCAACACGGTGTGGGGGCGAGGCATCACGTGGCTCTGGTGACCGCCAGTAATCAAGATATCAATACATCTTGACGTCAAGAGGACCACGTGTGTGACGCTGTCCTGTGTGACTCTACCATGGTACACTGTCCTGTGTGACTCCCACCATGGCACACTGTCCTGTGTGACTCTACCATGGCACTGTCCTGTGTGACTCTACCATGGCACACTGTCCTGTGTGACTCTACCATGGCACACTGTCCGTGACTCTACCTTGGTACACTGTCCTGGTGACCTACCATGATACACTGTCCTGTGTGACTCTACCATGGCACACTGTCCTGTACCATGGTACACTGTCCGTGGACTCTACCATGGTACACTGTCCTGTGTGACTCTCTACCTTGGCACACTGTCCTGTGACTCTACCATGATACACTGTCCTGTGAGTCTCTACCATGGCACACTGTCCTGTGGACTCACTGGTACACTGTCCTGTGTGACTCTACCATGGCACACTGTCCTGTGTGACTCTACCATGGCACACTGTCCTGTGTGACTTCACCATGGCACACTGTCCTGTGTGACTCTACCATGGCACACTGTCCTGTGTGACTCTACCATGGCACACTGTCCTGTGTGACTCTACCATGGCACACTGTCCTGTGTGACTCTACCATGGTACACTGTCCTGTGTGACTCTACAGCGCCCAACATGCTAAGTTCGCGCTTGCCTTTATGTCTCATGAGTTAAGCCTGAAGAGTCAAATGTTTTATGTCATCAAGTTATTGGAAGCTCCAACAACTTTTGATTTTCAACAGGTACCTACTTTACTGGTAGGTGAACAGGAACCAATGAGGGCTGGGAAGTATGTCCAAACAACTTTTCCACCGGCCCGGGAATCGAACCCGTGACATCTCGCTTGCGAGGCAAGAGCGGTACCTTTCTACCATCGGCGCCCCCTCCCATAATGTGTTGTGGCGCCTCGGGTCGTGGCCACCAGGGATGTGTGGGTCATGGTTAGGGTAGTAATGGTCGTGGTTTGGTTAATAATGGTCGTGATTGAGGTAGTATTGGTCGTGGTTAGGTTGATAATGGTCGTGGTTCGTGTAGTGATGGTTGTGGTTAGGGTAGTTGTGGTCGTGGGTGGGGTAGTATCGTTCCAGATATAAATAGTTAAGCAACAGTTAAATAGGTTTGTTGAGGCGGTTAACAACCCTAGCAGAGGCTGGGTCATTAAGAAGGCTGTGTTGGCAGACAGAGTGATATAAACTTTACATAGGTAGAGCCGTGAAGATTGGGACCCAGTGGTCATTCCGTATGACCATTAGTGGGGAATTCTCGACTGATTTTACCTTTGAAGGCACAGCTATGATACCTGAGGGCCAGTGAATACAGCATAGTCCTTTCCTGATAAGAGAGACACACTAACCCTTAGGTACAGGTAACCTTTAGGTACAGGTGACCCTTAGGTACTAGTGACCCTTACCCTTAGGTACAGGTAACCTTTAGGTACAGGTAACCCTTAGGTACAGGTGACCCTTAGGTACAGGTAACCCTTAGGTACAGGTAAGCCGTAGGTACAGATGACTTTTAGGTGCAAGTAACAGGTACAGGTGACCCTTAGGTTAGGTGGCTGGGACAGAGGCAGGTGGCAGTCCTCCAACTTACATGCCTGTGTAGCCACATAAGCGACGACTCTAGTGCCCAAAACACAGGACACACACACACACACACACTCTCTCTCTCTCTCTCTCCTCCTCCTCCCTCTCTCTCTCTCTCTCTCTCTCTCTCTCTCTCTCTCTCTCTCTCTCTCTCTCTCTCTCTCTCTCTCTCTCTCTCAGAACAAGAAGCATGATAAGAAGTGTTTCTCGTGGGTTACATTACCGTCATCACTCGCTCGTTCTCTTGTGTTAAGGTGCAGCCGGTAATAAGGGCTGGTTGTACCGGCAATAAGGGTTACACTAATAATGATAAAAGGTTATTCAGTAAAATGTTGCGGTTTATGAAATGTTCTTACTTTGGTTCATAATATTGTATGCCGGTAAGTTATTCTTATATATATATATATATATATATATATATATATATATATATATATATATATATATATATATATATATATATATATATATATATATATATATTATTGTTTGAGTGCCAATTGATGCGGCACCAAGTGCGTTGTTGTATACAGTAGGCCTACAGAATACCCTACCCTGCGACACGGTATATACAGTACAGTATAGGAAGGTAATCAATATAATATGTGGGGGACTTACTCTGGCTTACTGTGTTGAAGATAAACTTAATATTGTTTTGTTTTATCATTAATTCTTTTTGTCATATAGTGTCTCCTTTAACTTCCATCAATCACAACCACTATACCGTCAACCACCATTACCCCATTCAACTAACATCACCACCAACCACCATCATTACCCCATTCAACTAACATCACCACCAACCACCATCATTACCCCGTCAACCACCATCACCATCAACCACAATCATTACCCCATCAACGACCATCATTACCCCATCAACCACCATCACCATCAACCACAATCACACCCATCAACGAGACCATCACACCCCATCAACCACCATCACACCCCATCAACCACCATCATTACCCCGTCAACCACCATCTTTACCCCATCAACCACCATCATTACCCTATCAACCGCCATCATTACCCCATCAACCACCATCATTACCCCGTCAACCACCATCATTACCCCATCAACCACCATCATTACCCCATCAACCACCATCATTACCCCATCAACCGCCATCATTCTGTCAACCACCATCATTACCCCATCAACCAATATCATTACCCCATCAACCACCATCATTACCACTCCAGTGAACCACCACATCACACTAGCCGCCACCATCATTACTCAGTCAGCCACCATACCCCATCAACCACCATCATTAATTCCCCATCAACCACTCATCACACTCCCCATCAACCACCATCATTACCTCCAACAACCACCATCATTACCCAGTCAACCACCATCATTGCCCCATCACCACCCAGTCAACCACCATCACACCACATCAACCACCATCACGTTCCATCAACCACCATCATTACCTGAAATAACTACCATAATTACTCCCGTGAACGACCATCTTTTACCCCATCAACCACCATCATACCCATCAACCACCATCATTACCCCATCAACCAACATCACACCCTCGTCAACGACCATCATTACCCCATCAACCACCATCATTACCCCATCAACCACCATCATTACCCCGTCAACGACCATCATTACCCATCAACCGCCATCATACACCCCCGTCAACGCCATCATTACCCCATCAACCACCATCATTACCCCATCAACCACCATCATTACCCCATCAACCGCAATCATTACCCCATCAACCACCATCCCTTACCCCATCAACCGCAATCATTACCCCGTGAACGACCATCATTACCCCGTGAACGACCATCATTACCCCATCAACCACCATCATTACCCCATCAACCACCATCATTACCCTATCAACCGCCATCATTACCCCGTCAACGACCACTCAAAAACTATTGTTGTTTCAGCTTGACTCGTGTGATGAGTATGAGGACCGCAGACGAATTAGAATGCGCCTTAAGACTCTCATGGCCGAGAAAAAAGGTGAGTTGTGTGTCCGTCTCCTAGTGTTATACTAAAGGGTGGACTGTGGTGTAATGGTTAGCATGATCGCCTCGCAAGCGAGAGGACCCAGGTTCGATCCCCGGGCACGGTGAAACTATGGGCAAGTTTATTTACGCCATTTACCTCTATCTACCCTGCATTTGGGGATCTGGATGTTAATCGATTTGCTGATCGTATTCTGGGATAATAGTTAGCCAGCTCATTAACTTAGGGTGTGGTTGTTGTGTTGACGACAGCTTCTACACCTTAAACAAATTCACGCCAAGGTGGCCCTTGGGCCGGCCATCCTCGTTACACGAGGGGCAGCCATTAATGTACTCAACAGGTTAAGTCACAGTACTCAGCAGGTTAAGTCATTGTGCTCAACAGGTTAAGTTATTGTACTCAACAGGTTAAGTCATTGTACGCTCTCAAATTATGTAAAATATTTTTCTTAAGTATGAATTGAGAATTACTGTACTGTTATGTGATATTGAATTATTGTTTTACTTTGTTAAGAACCTTACAGTACATGTTGTTGTTTTTTTAATATAAGATACGAAAGTAAAATACATATTTTTCTGGGATAGTCTTAAATAAAATTTGGAACTCCTTATAATAAGATATATTTTATATATCGGTTCTGTGTAAAGATTTTTATCAGCAATTGGAGTTGTGAGAATGAATCCGAGTGACAAATTTCAATTATAACTCAAAAATAACATGTAAATATAGTGAGTTTCTATCTTTGGGAGAATCATTCAGTTAAAAGTGAAAATGTACTGTGGATATATTATCTTTGAAAGATTTAGTCCTGTATCCTGGTAAGGTAGAGTCTTGCTGTAATCTAGATAATATATCTGTTGTTATTATTTTTGTGTTTAGATCAAATCAACCAGTTAAGTTCATTCTTACAACCTCTGTAATGAACCTTTATTAATCTCGATCTTGAAGTATAAGAAATTTTCTCCTGGTACATGTTGTCTTTCTCTTACACATCAAAGTGTTTGGATAAGGAGGACATGAACAGAAATTGGCAAGATTTTCAGTTGTTGGTTACTCTTATCATCATCATCCTTTGTTCACTCTTGTTTCCAGAACAGTTTATAGTGTGGCTGGTTGTCCTGTATATATTATTGCCTGTAACCAGTTTTCTTCAATTATATATTAATGTATATGTACTTAAGTATTTCAGTTAGTAATGGTAAGTTTATGTTTCAGCTCTGCGGGAGGAGCTGAGCGGCCATGACCTGGGTCAGGGGTCACGCACCCAGGCGCACTCTAAGTTTGAGGCAGTGTCCAAGTCCACCACTAGTAGCTCAAAAGAGTCCAATTTGCGTAGCAGCGAGGGTGAGTTGGAACCCATAGTTGTCGATCAGTTGAAAACGTCGCTTGAGGAATATAGGCAGCGTGTTGGTGGCGGGGCTTCTTCTTCTTCAGGGATAAGTGCTAGGGCTAATCTTTCCGCTCAGGGTTCCTCTTCTGTGCCTTATGCTTTTTCTTCCAGTCGTACTAAGTCGAGTGAGGAATATCTATTTGATTCTGGCACAGAATCAGGTGACGATTCAAGTAGAAATCGAAGTGAATTTATTAGCTTCATGGAGGGGATTAAAGCTTCCATTAAGGATGCCAGCTTGAAAAGTCGAAAGTCTAATCAAGCTGAAGGTCTTGGGGATCAAAATTCTAGTGATGAATTTAATACCGAGTTAATAGTTGAAGTTAATTCAGTTTTAGATAAATTGAAAACTAATCTTTCTAAGTCTAAGAGCCAGACTTTCTCTGGTGTTGAAGAACAAGGAGAACAGGAAGCTCAGGATCAACCAGGACTACTTTCACTTATCGATCGTCTCCAGACTTCGCTCGGAGGTGTCCTACTAGACCATGAGACAGATGAGGAAGGTGGGGAGGATAGGCGGGCATCTGCGTCATGTGCTGACGGTAAGAAAATAGTTGTTGGCAACAAAGCTGGGGAAGAGGAGGAGGAGGAGGAGGAGGAGGGTGAGGATGAGGGGGGCGAGGAGGAAGAAGAAGAAGAAGAAGAGGAGGAAGAAGAGGAGGAAGAAGAGGAGGAGGAAGAGGATGATGAAGAAGAAGAAGAGTTTGAAGAAGCAAAGACCGTTATTGAAAATAATGAATGCCCCTTGAGGAACTCGAGTGGGGTAATAAAGTCTAGCTCAGCAGGTCTGCTTCACTCTTCATCATATGGTTCTTCAGGAGCTGGAAGTCCTTCAGTTGTTACAGGAGGCCTCAAGTTTACCGTTAACTTGAATGAGGCTAAAGGTATTGTTTTAAAAGTGGATGAACTCAAATCTGACAAACAGCGGAACAAGCGGTCTGAGTCGTCAGAGAGCACAGCTTCCAGATCGGCTGCAAGTGACCGTCAGTCTTTAGAGAGACAAAATAGTCGTAGTGAAGCAAGAGTTGTTCTTGCCTCAGCAATTGGGAAATGTAAGTCTCGCGAGGAGTTAGTACGACACCTCAGTACCGATGTTGACGATGAGGAAGAAGCACATGAAGATGCTGATGAGGTTTCTACAAGGCCATACGATGATGGAGATGAGGTGTCTACAAGAGACGGCACCCCAGACAGCAGACTGAGTGACTCAGACACGACAAGAAGAAAAGACAAGAAAGATATTCCTTGGAAGATTAGGGCAGCAAAAAGGCGTATTGAGCGACCTTTGCAGACTATCCCCAAGGATGAGTCTGTGGCTTCCACCTCGGTGTATTCTCACATAGCAAGTGCTGAACTTGTCACTAAAAGGCAGAAAGATTACAATAACTTGTGGGGATCAAAGCCCACACCTTATCGTCTTCCATTTCCTAATGAAAGTCGTTCTGTCGGTAATGTTTCTGACATGAAGAAGAACTGGCAAACTCTACTACATTCAAATTCTTTAGAACAAGTTGGATATATACACAAACCTGTACAGTCGAAAACTGCTCAAGAGTTCAAGCGAGAGTATGGCCATATTGTTACATCATTCTCTGCAGGCAACTTGAGTCCACACAATGTTGCACCTTGTGTACCTGAAGACCACATCAGTGATAAAAGTGACTCAGATGACTCAGATGATGAAGGGGAGGTATTCTCCATTAAGCCATATGAAGGAAAAGTTGGAACTAAAGCCCAATTGCCGGGAATATTTCACAGACAGAATGAGTCGCAAGTTGTTAAACCATGTGTGGTTTTCCAAAAAATTGAAAAGCGTGAGGTGCTCAAGAAGAGTGACTACTTTAAGGAAAAAGCCTTAGAATCTCAACCAGTTCCTGTAAATGAAAAGATCCAAGAGGTGAAGAAGAGGCGAGTAAGTCCTAAAATCCAGGCACAGCAGGTAGATGCCCCGGCTGTTCCTCCACGGCAGCAGTTTACAGCCGTGGCACCACCCAAGCGTCCTACATCCCTAGCGATTCAGCCAACAGTTCCTGATTGTCGTCCTCTACAAGAATATTCAGTTCACATCAAGGAGGCTTCTGTTGAGGTACCACCACCCTTACCTCAGCGAGGTGAGCATCCACAGCCGCCACCACTTCCACAAAGAACAGAAGCTGGCCAAATCGAATCAGAGTATCAGTACCACCCACCCACCACCAGTCATGTTCACAATGTTACTGCCTTGGTTAATTCGAGTCAGCATCTGTCAAGGTCCAAGTCGACTCCTGCTGCTAATGTAACATCTGGTCATATGGAATTACGTGTTCCTTATAGTAATGTAGCTAGAAATCGGAGGAAAACTTTGGAAGACACCAAGCAGCGAGTTGGTTTCACTGCAGCAGTTGCTGAAAAAACAATAAGAACTAACCAAGTAAGTCGTATACATAATTTGATTCAGAAGCAAGTGTCTGCAGATGTTGAGGAAACTGGTGCAAGTCAATGGGTGAAGAATGAGATCTCACGGACAAAGAGTGCAGGATCAGTTGCTGGAATGGTTAAGAATCTAGATAATTTAAAAGATGAGTTTGAAAATGAAGGAACTTGGATGATTGTACACAGTCAAGATAAAGAATCAAACAGGGGGGCTGGTGTTAGTGCTGGGGTATCTGATGACCCCAGCTCTAAACTCTTCACCCCAGAAATGCTTGTGAAAATTGCTGTTCACAAAGCAGCTATTAACAAGCAGCTGAGTGTAGGTGAAGAAAAACGACGGTCAGGAATGAAGAGAGCAAGTTCGGCAGAGGCGGGAGAATCTCCATCTGTGTCAGGTCGTCCTTTTAGGCGGATGAACACGGTAGGTGGCCCAGAGACAGTGGCTATTGAACACAGGAACACCGTGTGGCAGGGTGTGCATGATCACGCCAAGCAACAACAAATATTAAAGAGGAAGCAAGAGGAAGAGGAAGAAAGAAGACAGGATTTACAAAGGATACAGCAACTACAGCACCAGCAGCAGTTACAGGAACAACAACAAAACTTGCACAAGCAACAGGCACTACTACTACAACAACAACAAGTACAAAGGCAAGAAGAAGTAAATAGACAGGAAGAGTTGAAGAGACAGGAAGAGATAAAGAGACAAGAAGAGATAAAGAGACAGGTAGAGATAAAGAGACAGGAAGAGATAAAGAGACAAGAAGAGATAAAGAGACAGGTAGAGATAAAGAGACAGGAAGAGATAAAGAGACAGGAAGAGATAAAGAGACAGGAAGAGATAAAGAGACAGGAAGAGATAAAGAGACAGGTAGAGATGAAGAGACAGGAAGAGATAAAGAGACAAGAAGAGATAAAGAGACAAGAAGAGATAAAGAGACAGGAAGAGATAAAGAGACAAGAAGAGATAAAGAGACAGGTAGAGATAAAGAGACAGGTAGAGATAAAGAGACAGGAAGGGATAAAGAGACAGGAAGAGATAAAGAGACAGGAAAAGATAAAGAGACAGGAAGAGATAAAGAGACAGGAAGAGATAAAGAGACAGGAAGAGATAAAGAGACAGGAAGAGATGAAGAGACAGGAAGAGATAAAGAGACAGGAAGAGATAAAGAGACAGGAAGAGATAAAGAGACAGGAAGAGATAAAGAGACAGGAAAAGATAAAGAGACAGGAAGAGATAAAGAGACAGGAAGAGATGAAGAGACAGGAAGAGATAAAGAGACAACAAGAATTAAAAAAGAGACAGGATGAATTAAAACTACAGGAGGAAGTACATAGACAATTGGCATTACACAAAGAAGAAGAACAGCAGAAAGAAGCACAGCAGCAGGAATTACAGAGACAACAAGAGTTACAGAGGCAACAGGAAGGATTACAGCAACAGATACAAAAGCAACAAGAACAGATTCGTCAACAGCAAGAGCTGATCAAGCAACAGCAGTTATTGCTTCAACAACAACAATTTCAACAGCAAACTCAAGCTTTAACTCCATCCTCGGCCAAGATTGAGAGGCAATCCTCCCTCCCACAACAACAGAGTGGTGTGCACCAGCCTGGAAAGCCTCTAAGTGCAGTACAACAAGCAGTGATGGAGGAAACTTCTGGATCAACTTCAACATTTACACAACAGGTACAGAGAGGTCAGCAGACGGGTACCAGCAGTGATGGTCAAGAGACAGTGCGATTAGGTCGTCGACCCACCAGAGTGCCACTCAAGAGGCAGGGTAGTGTGGAAGGTGCAGCAGGGCTGGTGACCGCCGCACTCACACGACACCAGTCTCGCGAGGAATTGGTGCGTCAGAGGAGTCTTTCTGCCTCGGGCAGGACTGCCAGCCAGAGCTCACAAGGGCATGGTTCAAATCCAGATCTGGAGGACTATTTTGGTGACTGTGATACTGAAGTGAACGATGATGAAGTGTTCACTGGTGACATCACTCAACATAGGGTACATCATGTTAGTGCCATGCAAATTGCCACCAGTTCTGATATTAATAATAGTGCAATAGAAGTTTCAAAAACTGCTGTAGTTCCTGCACTCGTCAACAGTCCACCTGCTTACGTAGTGGCACAGCCGTTTTCTAAAATTCCTCCAGAAAAGTCTGGTCTTCGTCGTGTACAGAGCCAGCGAAGCCCACCTGGTCAGGAAGTAAGCAAAGTGACGTGTCCTGAGATGGATCGTGTCAAGAGTTACTCTATCTCTTCACTACCTGAGAGGGTTCACTCTCCACCCCAGAAGACTAAAGTAAGAGCTTTCCAGAAGAACTTCTCCTTTGATAATGTATCATTTGGTACTCAGAGTTCTTCAGTATCATCACTGCCAGACTCTCCTAAGCTCACACAGAGCCCAGAACCGATTCGCAAAGGCATTTTTGGGGGTCGATCAGTGTCCATGTCGGAAAGTGACAGAACCAAGAGTTCATCCATAACATGTTTAAGTGATCATGGAAGTCAAGCACAACATAGTTCAAGTACAGTAAGAACTGGTTTTAGTGGTTCGGTATTCAACCCAGCCACACGAGACAACGTTCGGGTGAAAAGCTCTTCTTTCTCTGCCCTTCAGGAACCCTCACAAGTCAAGCCTCCTGTACAGAGTATTGGCTTCCAGAATGCTGTGCTCGGCCAAGTCACACAGTCTTTGAAGAATGTTAAGAGCCAAGAAACTAAAGAAAATCAAACATTCCCACAAAACAAGCCTTGTTCAGATATCCAGCGAGTCTCAAAATTTGGCAATACCTCTACTCCAGCTTCAGGAAAGTTGAAGGCTTCAGACTATGTGGTGCCTCCTCTGCCAACCACTGCAATGCGACAGCAACATCTACGAGAACAACAACAGCAACAAAAAGTGTCCCACTGGGGCAGTGTTCCTGATAACTCTACAAAACTAAAAGCTTCCGACTTTAATGTTCCTCCTCTTCCAACTACCAGTTTTTCTCCTCAACATGGAGTGTCTCGGTGGGGCAGCGTGCCAGACTCTGTTTCCAGAACCAAAGCCACAGACATCTCAGTTCCTCCTCTACCCTCCTCTAGTATTCGTGGGCGTCTTAACTCTGCCCCAAGTCAGGATGCCAGAGTTGCCACCCAACACCCTACAATGTCACCTTCAAGTAACAAGAACATTTCCTCGTCAGGAAATAAATTTGAACAGGCAGCAACTACCTCAAACACAGCGCTCATAAGTGCAGGTGCGTCCACAAATTTAGAGTCCATAAGAGAAACTAAAGAACAGGGTAGTGCAGGTAAGGTTGCGAGCATGTGGGAATCTGCTGTACACGCCTCAGGGGACTCCAAGGCTTCAGCCCCCGGCAAACCATGGAAAGAAGGCGTGGCTCCAGACATATCGGGTCAGTATGTAAAGAAAAGTAGGGAAAAACTTTTAGAAGGTAAAATTGATAATGAAAAGGGTGATCAGGATGTAAATATAAAAAATAAGAAAAAAACGAAAAAAGTTATAAAATCACAAACAAATGTCTGGGAAAAATCAGTCAATGTGAACTCATCCAATAGAACTTTAGATGTGGTTGAGGAGAGAAGTAAACGAGTAGGTAAGATGCAAGTTAATAAGTGGGAAAATATTATGAGTAAAGAAGGGGAAATAGTTAAAGAAAAATCTGATACAAGAAAAATTGACAAAGTTCAAATTAAAAAATGGGAGATCGCACAAGATGATAAACCAGAGAATTCGAGTTGTGTAAAGAACGAGGGAGTTAGGATGAGAAACAAGGAGAAAAAAGAAAAGTGGGAGAATTTGATTATTAGTGGAGAAGGGACAGGTGCTAATGAAAGGGAAGATAGAGTTAAAAGGTTAAGTAAAGAACAAATTCTACATTGGGATGGGGCAGTGAGGAGTGAGGATGAGGTTGCGGTTGACACCGGACAACGAGTAAAGCGCTTAAGTAAGTTACAGTTTGAGAAGTGGGAGGCAGCGGCTGGGGCAGGTGAGCCCTCAGAGGATGACAAAGGCGTTCCATGGAAAGATCCATCAACAGTGTCATCTCGAATCAAGAAAGAGATCACCAAGTTTGAAGATGCTGGAAGCACCAGTTCTCCTGGTGACTCGCGTGAGACTTCCCCACCTCGGGTTATACAACGTTCTAGTTCTGGCTTAATTAAGAAGACCTTGGCTGCCTTTGAGGTGGGAATGACTGAAAAGAACGAAAGACAAGACACAACTCCACCACCAGGCCTCAGACGCTCAGCTTCTGGTTTTGTAAAGAAAGGTATTGCAGCATTTGCAGAGGCAGAACCTGAGGTTCAAGAAATTCCGGGACCACCTCCCATACGTCGCTCAAGCTCAGGGCTCATCAAGATGGGTCTGGCAGTGTTTGAGGGCCAAGCCATACCAACCTCCCGTGAAGCTGAATCTTCGTACCTGGAGAAACGACGCAGTTTACATGATTCTCACAGTGAAAGATTCACGGCACTAATGGGAAAGACTGAACAAGGAGGTTCAGTACAGGTGGCCAGTCTGAAGATACCAATAGAGCTCCTTCAGTCTCAGCAGAAGAGGCCACAGAGTCTAGCTTTCTATCCTTCCACCTCCAAACCAGAGTCTTTGTCATCGTCCAGTGTGTTGCCATGGGGTAAAGAGCCTCAGCGACGACACACTCCCTCCTCTATCACTCCTAATGCCATATATGCTCAGGGCCAGTTTGAAGCCTCCATATCGCCTGATAGTGCTGAAAAGAAACGTAGAGAAATTGCTGCATTTTTCCAACAGTCTAGTCATCAAATATCTCGTAAAATGGAACAGAATAAAAGTGTCAGTCCAACTCAAAATAAAGCTCATGATGAGTTAGATGATTCGTGGGAGGATCTCTTAATAGGTACCGATTTAAGCACCGCTGTAGATGAGGTGTTCTCGGAAACACTTCTTCGGGATTTAGAGCTCACAGAGGACGAGTTGTCTCCCGGGACAGACAACCGTCGCCAGAGGTGTAGGAGCATTGTTAAAGATGATAAATGCGACATGTCTGGTGTGGTTTACGAAGCCAAATTAACTCGATCTCAAAATTCACAAGAGTACTTCAGTCTAGTGGTGGCAGGTCAGACTGCACAAAGTCGGAGGGAGACTGCTGACCTCCAACAGCGGGTTCTTGCTCAGTCACACTGCCTTGAACAGCAAGCAGTTGGTATTTCTGAAACTAGCTCGACCTCTGAGGGGCAAAGTGCGCAACTTTATGGTTCTTTGGAGCAGAGTGGGGGTGATGCACCTCATGCTGGAGGAGGGCTTGATAGTGGTGGCGGTGAAGGCTCCATAGGTATGTGTCAACACTTTACTAATAACAGCTTTGCTGGCAAACCTGCTCATGAATACTCATCCACAGCTGATCATGGTCTGTCTGAGAGTTGTCACCGTGGTGATGGGGTGGGTATCCAGCCTAGATGTTTGTGGCCTAACTTTAATACAGGAATCAAACATATAGAAAAAGATTTAGATAGCAAAGCCAAATCCCATAGTCGACTGTGTTTCAATATGCAGCTGCAGCCAAATTGGACAAGTCCAGAGTGTAGTGATAGTGATAGTCAAGTATCAGACAGTGAGGGAGAACTTGCAGATGAGGAGGACAACGTAGGTCAGGGAGGGGTAGTTTGCACATCAGCTATACACATGCTTCAGCCCAAACCAAAATTTCTCATTCCTAAGATAATAGTAACAGATTTGGATGCAGATGTGCCAAGCGTGGCAGCTGAGAATGTGCCGCCATTTGGGGATGATACTAAAAATTTTTTGGCTGTGTGCGACTCTCAGTCACATATTCTTATCACAAAAAAACAAACTTCTCTCATGCAAGGTTTTTTGAAGGGAGATTTGTCTAAGATTTTCCCTCCATATATCAAAAAGTCGTGTGTTGTTCCTGTGTCTGACAGCACTGTTGAAAGCTATTCCAAAACACGAAATGTAACAGATGAAAATTTACACACCAGAGATACTGTGAGTGACTGTGAGATGACTTTATCAGAAAATAGTAATAAAGTCTTGACTTTTAGGGACAAAATTCAGGTGTCTGACATAAATCATCAACAACCTGCTCGAAGTGTTGTTGATGTAGGGACAGACACTGTGCTTACAAGACAGGACAGAGAAGTGGAGGAGCCTAGTGAGTCTCAACACAGGGGAACTTCACCAACTGTAGATGATCCTCAAGTTGAAATGAACATTAGAGACTTTGAAGGGATAGCCAGGAAGATGTATTCCTTTAAAGTTGGTGAAGAGCTGACAGATGATGTAGGTGGCATAAAGAAGCGTTCTCAAGCAGTCGAGGGTGAACCTAAAACACTTCCAGTCATTGTATCTTTCCCAAGACCATCACCCACCACCTCACCCACACACACCACCTCACCCTCAAGACCATCACTCACCACCTCACCCTCAAGACCATCACCCACCACCTCACCCTCAAGACCATCACCCACCACCTCACCCTCAAGACCATCACCCACCACCTCACCCTCAAGACCATCACTCACCACCTCACCCTCAAGACCATCACCCACCACCTCACCCTCAAGACCCTCACCACCCTCAAGACCATCACCCACCACCTCACCCTCAAGACCATCACCCACCACCTCACCCTCAAGACCATCACCCACCACCTCACCCTCAAGACCATCACCACCACCTCACCCTCAAGACCATCACTCACCACCTCACCCTCAAGACCATCACCCACCACCTCACCCTCAAGACCATCACCCACCACCTCACCCTCAAAACCATCATATTTACCCATAGTTCCTGCAACTGTAACTCAAACCCACAATTCCGTAGCTTCTTTGGTAAGACAGTCATCTCGCCCACCTCCCTGGCACTTACCATCATCAATGTTAGTTAGTACATTATCATCTAGTGTACCTACTATGTCCCCTGTGATCACACTATCGTTCACACCTTCTACCATCTCATTATCCACACCTTCTACAATCTCACTATCCACACCATCTAGCATCTCACCATCAGTATCACCATTACAGTCACCCTCACTATCACCTCCCACTCCCCCATATATTGAAAGGTTACCTGATTTACTACAAAGTTGTTTATATTCATTGGGTGCTCAGAGTAGTGGTGACCATGTTTACTGTGATGTTGTGCAAGGCTCTGAAGTGAGGAGACATAATACCAGTGATAATGAAGCTGATGTCTCTGACTCTTCATCACCAGTTGACTCTGGCACCACTGTGATATACAGCCCAGATGATCTGATACACAGATCAGATGACGATGGCAATACACTAAATGAACAGTCAATTGCACTGAAAAGGGAAACTAAGCCTCCAAAATGCAGTCATAAAAATGTGAATACTTTTGTTTGTGATGTAAAAAGTTCTGTTCCAAGTAAACAGGCAGATGCATTGAAACAGCAAGTCAGTTTTTTTTAATATTGACCAGAGATACAGAAGATTTATTTATGATCGACAGTGTAAGGGTCCAAGCTTGAGTGACTAATGTACACATGTTGATAATGATAAAGGTATACATGCTGATAATGATAAAGGTATACATGCTGATAAAGGTAAATGTATACATACTGATACTGATAAAAGACTTAAAACAAATACGATCTCTGTGTAGTAAAAATCACATCGAATCCCAGTATGATACCAAAGAGAAGGTCATGGGGTGGACACAAGTGGACATAGAGAGTGATGCAACAGAGGACATTAAAGAGGAGAGCTTCAGTCCAAGCGATTTAGAATTCGATGAAGCTGAACTGTGACAAACATAGATTATGATTTTGACGGTGATGTGGAGAACTCTAGGTGCCTCAGAGAGATGAGAAGCTCTGATTAATGCGGGGGTAGAGATAAACATGACAGGAGAGGCTCTGAGTAATGCTGGGGTAGAGATAAACATGACAGGAGAGGCTCTGAGTAATGCTGGGGTAGAGATAAACATGACAGGAGAGGCTCTGAGTAATGCTGGGGTAGAGATAAACATGACAGGAGAGGCTCTGAGTAATGCTGGGGTAGAGATAAACATGACAGGAGAGGCTCTGAGTAATGCTGGGGGTAGAGATAAACATGACAGGAGAGGCTCTGAGTAATGCTGGGGTAGAGATAAACATGACAGGAGAGGCTCTGAGTAATGCTGGGGTAGAGATAAACATGACAGGAGAGGCTCTGAGTAATGCTGGGGTAGAGATAAACATGACAGGAGAGGCTACAAACCATGCAGGGGAAGGGGTGGATGTGACAGGGACAAAACTGTGGTCAGTTGAAGACAGGATTCATGAGCATGCAGTACTCTCTCAACAACGACACCAAGAAGAGCTTATGTTGATGGTCTGTGTGGCTCTCTCAGTATACTCACTTTTGGTGTATCATACTTAACCTGCCTATATGAATATAGTGAATTTTGAAGTACATTTAGATAGTTTCTGCTGGTACTTACCTATGGCCATCTGCTACTACTGCTGCTATTATCTCACCCAACTTCATGCTTATATTAAGTTCTATATGGAGAAGCTTTTTATCACTAGAGTACAAAACCAGATCGCTTATTTTGGGGTAGAGGTCAACTTTCTCTCTTTCCTGTACACATGAATCTCGCAGCTGTGATTGTATTACATAAATTTTCATTTTATTTTCAAGCTTCAGATCAACAGTAAGAGGTAAGAGTGTGTATACATAGGTACTGTATTATGCTGTATTTGTATTGTAGTTTGAGTTTTCTTTGTGTATTTCTTTATTCATTTATTTATTGACCCCAATTTCCTCAGTTGATTTGTCTAGTGTTTTTTTTTTGCTATTGATGTAAATATTTACACTAAAATTATCAGACCAGATATGATTCTAGACATCATTATTGTGGTTTGGTATGCCCCTGGGTGCATGATAGTACAGTGCTAACAAGTTCATGATAGTACAGTGCTAACAAGTTCATGATAGTACAGTGCTAACAAGTTCATGATAGTACAGTGCTAACAAGTTCATGATAGTGCAGTGCTAACAAGTTCACCATTAACTGACTCACAACTTGTTGTCATATTGTGTCAAACTGTTTACACTTATAAGTAATTGCATAATTATTAACTTACAACACCTTGAAACATCTAGTCATCTACAAGAGTAATACTTTACTTATATAGAAACTCTGCCTTTTGTTATACTGGCGCCGTGATAACAAGTATTAACTCACTGGTTAGGTTTTGGTATTTGGCTGATATTTTATTATTACTACTTACCGAAGCAGAAGTTAAATCACCTGTTAGCAAGACAAATCTAATAATAATAACAATAATAATAATAATAATATTAATAATAATAAAAAAATGCAACACCTGTTAACAACACTGGTGTCATAAATGCAACACCTGTTAATAACACTGGTGTCATAAATGCAACACCTGTTTAAACACTGGTGTCATAAATGCAACACCTGTTGACAACACTGGTGTCATAAATGCAACACCTGTTAATAACACTGGTGTCATAAATGCAACACCTGTTTAAACACTGGTGTCATAAATGCAACACCTGTTGACAACACTGGTGTCATAAATGCAACACCTGTTTAAACACTGGTGTCATAAATGCAACACCTGTTGACAACACTGGTGTCATAAATGCAACACCTGTTAATAACACTGGTGTCATAAATGCAACACCTGTTAATAACACTGGTGTCATAAATGCAACACCTGTTTAAACACTGGTGTCATAAATGCGACACCTGTTAACAACACTGGTGTCATAAATGCAGCACCTGTTAACAACACTGGTGTCATAGATGCAGCACCTGTTAATAACATATGTGTGATAATATGCAACATATGTCAGCAAGACAGACGCAACAATTAACCTGCAACACCCAACAAACATGCTGTACGATATTGTGGTCATAATTAACGTGATAATCCAGCCAATAGTTTTGTGTAGATGGTAGTCTGCCTCTTGTGTCTTTTAGAATGTCCTGGATTAATTAGAGTACTTAGAGTACATCCTCTAAACAGCTCACATTTTAGAACTTACAAATGTCAATACTTAGGAACAAAGATGACCTTTTACCTTCCTCTTACAGTATTTTTGTGAGGTATTAAGTAGTGGAACTCCCTCAAGTGTGAGAGATTTTACACACTAGTGCTCACACTAACCTCACGATACATGGCAAGAGAGAGAAACTTTTCTTATTTATACTTCTGCATTATAAACTAAATCATGTCGTATTAGAACATACAGTATAAGTTACCCCCTCGGCTCCTCAGTTCGTGTTTAAACATACATGATAATCTAAACTGTTTACTGCTGGCGTCCTCAGCATCTACTACAGTTTGTAGTCACCGCCATTTTATAAAAAAAACTGTGCAGTGTATCCGATAGACGAGTTAAGAATGGTGCGTATACTGTACCACTACGGGGCGCATCGCACATACCCAGTGCTCTTTATTTTTCATTAATTTAAAGACTGTTGTTTAAAAAAAAAAAGTAAACATCATAAATATAATTTCAATAATTCATGTTCGGTGCCAAAATAATAGATGACTGGAGGTTTCAATTTGGCTACCCTTAAACCTTGTGTGTGTACTGTTCCTGAAGACCCCCACCAAGACCTCTGTCAAGACCCCCTCAATACCTCTGTTAAGACCCCCTCAATAATTCTGTCAAGACCCCTCCAATACCTGTCAGGACCCCTCCTAATACCTCTGTCAAGACCCCTCTAATACCTCTGTCAAGACCCCTCTAATACTTCTCTATTTTTCTTATCTGCTCCAGTAGTGATCCACACACCAGCCATTTCTTCCACACATTTCTCACTCTTTCAACTGTTTACCACCCCTCCATTCCTCCTCCACCTAGCACTTACCTTCCACTAGCACCACCCCTCCATTCCTCCTCCACTAGCACTGCCCCTCCACTCCTCCTCCACTAGCACCACCCCTTCATTCCTACTCCACTAGCACTGCCCCTCCACTAGCACCACCCCTTCATTCCTACTCCACTAGCACCTCCCTCCATTCCTACTCCACTAGCACCGCCCCTCCATTCCTCCTCCACTAGCACCGCCCCTCCACTAGCACTGCCCTCCACTCCTCCACTACCACCGTCCCTTCCATCTCCACTAGCACCACCCTCCCCCCCCCCCTCATCCATACATCAGTCCACCACCTTTCCCCACCTAGAAGGGGTCGTAAAAGCCCCAAGCCCGTAAGACAACCCCAAGCCTCAAATCAGGTAAGGGTCTTGGTAATTGGGCTGTAAGGTGTGCTTGCGTGTTAGAGGTTGTTAGCTGGTGTGGGTGGTTGTGGCGTTGGTGTTCTGGTTTGGAGGGGGTGTGTAAAAAGTGTAGGAAGGGTGTGGTGTGGTGTGGTGTGCAGAGGGTGTAGTGGCAGGGGGTAAGAGGGAGATGGTGTGGTGTGTAGAGGGTGGAGTGACCGGGGTGTGGTGTGTAGAGGGTGGAGTGACCGGGGTGTGGTGTGTAAAGGGTGGAGTGACCTGGGTGTGGTGTGTAGAGTGAACAGGGGAAGGAGGGGGGTGTAGTACTGTAGTGGTATGTGTTTGTGTTGTAGATGTGGCGCTTGTTAACGACTGGCTGACGCAGAACTTCCCTGAGCACCGAAGTCCTGGTGTAGCTCCCTCCCGCCCAGGTCGGTTCTTATACACTCTTCACTCCCACATACACACTATTAGAGCCCAGCTGGTGATATGGGCACCAACACCTGACTCATTATATTTACAAAAAAAAAAGATAATTTTGGCTCTACAAACTTTAAGGAAAATGTGAATAAAAAATGCTTTCATTGAGGCTAAAATGTGGTTTTTAATAACATAAAAATAAAGCTTTTAATGACACAAAAATAAAGCCTTTAATTAGACAAAAGTAAGGCTTTCATTGAGGCTAAAATTATGCTTTTAACGAGACAAAGAAACTTGTTTTCAATGACAAATATAATGGGTTGAAACTTAACAAATAAGACGTTAAAGCTGGCCATTGTGAAGGTGTTGACGGTGTTGGGAGTAGGTTCTGGCAGCCACCTTCCTTGTTTACCATGCCAAGTGAATCTTACTTTGTCTTACACCATCCCTATATATATATATATATACATATACTGTATATATATAATGTGTTAGTCAATAGCCAGGGAGGAGACATGCACGTACAGTAGTTACAGCTTCAGCTTATACAAATAATACAGTCATTAGTGATGAATGTTGAAACTAACATCGCACTCCCCTAACATTCTTATGCACCATTCATTCACAAGTCAATATTCAACCTCATAAGTCTTGCTGGTGGAAAACCTGATGAAAACCACAAGAGTATACTATATTGTAGGAAAGAAACTATATATATATATATATATATATATATATATATATATATATATATATATATATATATATATATATATATATATATATATATATATAAAACACTTTGGTGGAAAAGTTGAAGTATAAGTGTTGTTTAAAAGAGCTACACTTACACTTGCTCCCACCAACTGTTGACAGCCATCATATAAAGTGTAAACATATGTTCAGCAATGACACATGCATGACGGCCGATTCTTTATATAAGTGTGTGTGTGTGTGTCTGTCTGTCTGTGTGTGTGTTTGTGTGCCTAGACTAAGAATTGTGTCAACAGGTCATACTCAGTCTGGTCCACTATACACCACTTTAAACACACACACACTTCCTTTCTCACTCTTGATAACTTGTACACGCCCCAAATATTGGTGTGTACGTACTGTACGTGTGTGTGCTTGCGTGTGTGTGTGTGTGTGTGTGTGTGTTTGTAAAGTAAGCGACTGAGGTAAATATTGAGTTTTAAGAAATACAATAATAGGAAGTGTAGGGTCGGGCTGCCAACTGTGGGCTGTGATGTCACCAACCACTCTTCCCACTCCTTAAATAATTTTGTTATATAAAGTATATAACCCGTCACTATACTTTTGTTATATAAAGCATATAACCCGTCACTATACTTTTGTTATATAAATACCGTGTCTATAATTTTGTTATATAAAGTATATAACCCGTCACTATACTTTTGTTATATAAAGTGCATAACTCGCGGCAATTTTAGCAAATATTTTCTTCGGCTTTTGGAATATATTTGTTAGAGTATATGAATTAGCTTCATGTTATGTTATTTATATAGTTTGAGTGTTTGGTGCATATATTAAGTTAATTAAATTATTTATATTGATTGAGATGAAGTTATATTAGAGGTGAATTGTTGGGTGGAATTAAATTGATTTGTTTGATTATGTTTGGTGGTTATTTAGATTAGAATACCTTAAGTTAGGTTATTAATCAGTGTTTTTGTCACTACCAAAATGTGGGTAATGTGTTAGTATACCTTCTGTTAGGTCAGCTTTGCTTAGGTTACGTTATGTTTGGTTAGGTTACGTTATGTTTGGTTAGGTTACGTTATGTTTGGTTAGGTTACGTTAAGTTTGGTTTAGGTTACTTTAAGTATGGTTGGATTAGGATAGATTTGGTTAGGTTAAGTTTGAATAGGTTAGGTTAAGTTTGGTTGTGTTGGGATAATTTGGGTTAGGTTAGGTTTAGCTTGGTTAGGTTAGGTCAGGTCAGATCAGGTCAGATCAGATCAGGTCAGCTCAGTTCAAAAGATTATTAGGGTATTGGTAGTGACATGAGCCAATGGCATAAACTATGTTGACGTGAACTAGGGGTGGAAAAGGGCCCATTGGTGACATGAGTCTGGGGTGACAAAGGCCCCACAGGTGACATGAGTCTGGGTTGACAAAGGTCCCGCGGTTCTCAGAAGTCTTGGCAAAATGTTAACAGGAACTGGCTAGGGGCCAGCCAGCAGCCCTCACCTCAACCACCACTTATTCTTGTCTTATTGTACAAACAATAAAAGTTCCCAATTAGTCTTAAAATTTGGCGTCACTTCCTCATGTGAGGTGTTCCTGATTCTCTTTCAGCCAATGTACAGTAAGTAGGCAACTGGGCCTTAAGACTTGCTCATCATGCAGTAAACTATGAAGTCACCCTTAATATCCTCACTTGGGTAAAATTTTGATAGCAAGAATATAATAACTGGAGCAGTTGTTAGTAGAGTTTATGTTGAAGATGTGCTGCGAGGGAACCGTTGTGTGGCTTATTGTGTACCCAAGTAGAAGCGTAAAAAATATATTTAAAAGTGTAGTAAAGAAAATGCGGTCAAGGGCAGATTAATGAGTGTAAGTGTGCGAGGAAGGTATGGGTAAGAGCAGCTACCACAGATGTGGTGGTGGTGTGGCACACATGGCAGTGTAACTGTGCTGATGATGTGGCACACATCCCTGTGTAACTGTGTCAAGTGTAGGAGGATGTGAACCTACTGGGGCTGGACGCCAAGCCCACCTGTGGCTTACTATAACTACTGCCACACCGCCGCCACACACCACACTTGTCGCCTACACTGTGCTCACTGAACACCCTAACCAGGCTGTGCTTACTCTACACACCTCACTGCTCACGCAAAAGAACACAGAACAAAGTCACATCACCTGTGACACAGCTTGTGGACGTGTTTAGCTATTGGTGGTAGCGTGTGCCTCCCCCCAGTGAACACAACACGAGAGGACCTTGTTGACGGTCAAGATGGCGTGTGTCATGGCTTATCCCGGTAATACTGACACGGATGTGCAAATACCAAGATAATTCTTTATTTTTCATTTTTAAACATCATTCAGTTTTCTTGTTGTAACAATACCACCCTACTTCTCTGCCATCACAGTTTTCCCACCAGCTAAGAACACATTTTCAACTTATCTATGCTTAGTAAAGAATTTTTCCTCCTAAACTGCATACTGAATTAAACAGTTATTCATTAAACTTCAAACTGAATTAAGCGGTTATCCCTTGAGATTAGTATTGTAATAAGGAGTTAGGTGGTGACCATTGTTCGGGAGATACGAGGTGTTACTGACGAGTGTTGCTCACCCCCACAGGAGACACCAACACCAACTCTTCCTCCACTGTTTCTCCCTTCGGCGTCTCCCGCACCAGTGGCTCCAGTCAAGGTACCAAACAGCCGCCATGATTATTCATAGGAATACCCCCGCCTTACTCGTTTCTGTCTGTCTGCCCGCCTTACGAAATATTTCAGTTCTGTAGTGCAAATATTCTATCTTGAATTACTGTATCGTGGTGTAGATTATTATAGTCTTTTTCCTTTCCATTTTTAATTTCTTTTTACTGTTATTTTTTCGCTCCCTAGGCCCCGTTTTGGGTCAATGACCTGTGCCCGGGTGGACTATTCCCCGTAAAAGAAAAAAATAATAATAATCATATCTGTAGTCTTATTACGAGGAAACTTGGGAGGACTGGTTGTGTTACTAGTCTTGAGCACTAATCTGGTCTTGGTGGTTCTTGTACAGTATGAAGCTAGGTACTTGTGACCCTCTTTCACTAAGTGCTGTATTACTGGGTCACACTTGTTCACATGATTCTTATATTTTTGTGTTTGATCTCCGATACTACAGTACTGTATACTTGTATAGTGTTGTTCACAAGATTCTTTTATGTGTATTTTCGTGCTGCAAATTTATTTCTCCAAGTTGGAAGATGGAGGATATATACTGTACATGTATATATATTAATGTGGATATTAATGAAAGTTTTATTTTTTCCTCAGTGAATGTTCAAAAGAGTTCCTACTCCACGAGCTTCTCCTCCTCCTCCCTAAACAAAAGTAAGTTAATGTGTTGTTATATATGAAGTAAGACAAGACCTCCCCATCCTCCCCCACCACCCCATCCTCCCCCCACCACCCCATCCTCCCCCCACCCCCCATCCTCCCCCCCACCACCCATCCTCCCTCCCCCCCACCACCCCCCACCACCCCATTCTCCCCACCAACCCAACCTCCCCCACCACCCCACCACCCCATCCCCCCCACCACCACAACCTTTCCCACCACCACAACCTTCCCCACCACCTAACCTTCCTCACCACCCCAACCCTCCTCCACCACTCTCCTCCCCTCCCCCACCACCCCAACCCTCCACTACCCCAACCTTCCCCACCACCCCCAACTCTCCTCCACCACCTCCCCATCTCCAACAACCTCCTCCATCGCCCAACCTTCCTCAACACCTCCCACCCCTCCCCCACCTCCTACAACCCTCCCCCACCTCCTACAACCCTCCCCACCTCCTACACCTCCCCCCTCCTACAATCCTCCCACAACCCTCCCACCCTACACCACCTACAACCTCTCCTCCCCACCTCCTACAGCCTCCCCACCTCCTCCTCTACAACCCTTCCCCACACAACACCCTCCCCACACAACCCTCCCCACCCTCCTACAACCCTCCCCCAACACCTCCCCACCTCCTACAACCCTCCCCACAACCCTCCACCTCCCAACCCTCCCCACCTACCCACCTCCCCCTCCCACCTCCTACAACCCTCCCCCACCTCCTACAACACCCACCCTCCCCACCTCCTACAACCCTCCTCCACCTCCTACAATCCTCCCCACCTACATCCACCTCCCACAACCCTCCCCACCTCCTACAACCCCCCCACCTCCTCAACCCTCCACCTCCTACAATCCTCCCCACCTACAACCCACCCCACCTCCTACAACCCTCCCCACCTCCACAACCCTCCCCACACCTCCCCCAACCCTCCCCCACCTCCTACAACCCCCCACCTCCTCACCTCCCCACAACCCCCCACCTCCTACAACCCTCCCCACCCCCCCACCTCCTACAACCCCCCCCACCTCCTCCAACCCTCGCCCACCTACAACAACCTTCCCCACCTCCTACAACCTTCCGCACCGTTATTACTAGATACAGTAGTTTATTGTATAAATACAGGTTTATACTTTTATAAATATATAATTTATTTTATAGTTAGATAGTTTATTGTATTTGTGGGGTAGAAACCAAGAATAGGGAAAGCATGTCTGCCACACAACCCCCAAAAATAACCCATTATATTCATCCAAAATTCTCTGTCTGTCCCGACCTAAAGTATTCGTCTTTATTCCAGACATCTTCAGAGGCCTCTGAAGATGTCTGGAATAAATACGAAAGCTAAGGTGCTCCAGTGTTTCCCTTTTCCTGTGTGATTTTATCGAGATTTATCTTGTTCACATTTCCATTGTGGACCTGCTGAAAATCTGGCCCCTGCTTGCTCGCCTCTTTCACCTTTGCCCCAAAACCCAAACTTTTCCTTCCTCTTGGAAGCATGCCTCGGTTCAGCCCATTGCAAAGATTGGTGATCATTCTAATCCCTCTAACTATCGCCCCATTGCCCTAACTTCATCCCTCTCTTTTGTCGGATCACCAGTATGGCTTTCACCAGGTGAGATCCACCGGTGATATGCTCTCCTATTACTACACCCATCTTTGTTCATCCTTTCTTAGGGATTAGGGGGAACTTTCGTCATGGCCCTCGACATATCCAAGGCATTTGACAGGGTATGGCACAAGTCTTTGCTTTCTAAACTTCCTTCTTATGGTTTCTCTTCCCCACTTTGTTCTCTAATTTCTAGCTTCCTTGAAAACTCGATCTATGGCAGTTGTTGTCGAGGGATTCATCTCTCTCTCTTTCTCTATCAATAGTGGTGTTCTGCAGATTTATTTTCTTTCACCTACTCTCTTCCTTCTTTTTATCAATGATTCACTTCACACTATGACTAATTTTATCCATTCTTATGCTGATGATTCTACTCTCCACTCTAATCCACATTTTTCCTTTCCCCTTAATTCTCAAACTAGATCTGTCTCTAGAGCTCATATTGTATCTTCTATCAATGTGGATCTGTGCAGCATCTCCGAGGTAGAAATTTGGTTAAATTCAATAGTAATAAAACACAGTATATACCAATTACTCTTTCCAAAACAGAAGATCTCTCACCAATCATGTTTCAGGATGCATTCAGGAGGTATTAGGCAGCTACCAAACAGGGAGGTACTACCACCTGGGAAGATATTGGAAGCATAATGTGTTGTCTATGGTAGATTTTGCTGCCACATGGCATCACGAAAATTGTGACCAAGTCCCAGGTTGCTGATCTGACTTTCTGCCTCATTTACACACAATTGCAGGGTCTCAATTGTTTCTCTTACTATTGACAACACAACATACATATATTGTTCCTCACTTTTGATTTTTTTTTCATTTTGTATTTCTTTGTGGTTCTTTATTATTATTATTATTATTATTATTATTATTATTATTATTATTATTATTATTATTATTATTATTAATTATTATTATTATTATTTATTATTATTATTATTATTATTATTATTATTATTATTATTATTATTATTATTATTATTATTATTATTATTATTATTATTATTATTATTATTATTATTATTATTATTATTATTATTTTGCCCCCCAGGCCCTGATGTGGGTCAGTGACCTGTGCCTGTGTGGGCTAATTCCCGTAAAAAAAAAAAAATAAAATAAATAGTAAAAAAAAAAAGGCCTCACCATTTCCTCTAATATATCATGGAAGCCACACATCCACAATATTGCTAAAGCTGCCTCCCAAAAGCTGGGAATGCTGTACAGATGCCGTAGCTACTTCACTCCTGAGCAGTTGCTCCAAGTATATAAGGGATTCATTTGTCCTGACTTGGAGTACTGCTCTCATATCTGGGGTGGCTCTTCTTCTGTCCAACTGTTAGATAGGGTGGAATCAAAGGCATTTTGTCTTATTAACTCTCCTCCTTTAGTTAATAATCTCTCTTCCCTTTCTCTTCGCCGCAATGTTGCTTCACTCTCTTAACGGGCAATGCTCCTGTGTACCGCCGGCAAGGACGTGGGCTAGTAACACACGACTGGCACTCAGTGCCCACCATTTGTGTGTGGATGTCAGTCACACTAGAATAACCCGTTATAGTACATCCTTCTTTCTTCACACATACAAACTGTGAAATGCTCTGCCTTCTTCTGTGTTTCCATACTCATACAATCTGTCTCACTTTAAAACGCTGGTCTTTCGGCATCTTCATAGTGAAGATTAATTTAGTCTTTTTTCTTCAAATTTTAATTTCTTTTTACTCTTATTTGTTCGCCCCCTAGGCCTTGTTGTGGGTCGGTGACCTGAGCCCGGGTGGGCTATTTTCGTTAAAAAAAAAAAATAGTAATATCTTCATTAGCCAGAATCCCTCAAATCCAGGACCCTCTGACAGCCGGAATTTTAATTTTCTTGGAAAATTGTTCCCAATGTCGGAATTTTCTGTAAAATTCCAGGTCTTAGAACGATTTTCCGAGGGGTACATTTTCTGGAAAATTCTGAGGAAATTTTCCCAGTGCCCAGAAAATTCTGGAAAATTCCTGGGATGAAGGATTTTTTCCCCGCTTTGAAAGATGAAATAATGAGTCATTCTGGAACTTCCGAGGAAATTTTTCTGTTACCCGGAAAATTCCAAAAAATTCCGAGGATGAGGGATTGTTTCTGGCCTTGAGAGAGTCATCTCGTAACCCAGAAATCTCTCATTCCCAGAAGTGCTCTGTACTAATTGTTCCGACTACTGGAGATATCACATACCCGGTATATATATATATATATATATATATATATATATATATATATATATATATATATATATATATATATATATATATATATATATATATATATATATATATATATATATATATATAAAAAAAATAAAAAAATATATATATATATATATATATATATATATATATATATATATATATATATATATATATATATATATATATATATATATATATATATATATATACCTAGACCCCGACTTACAACTGCTTCGACTTACGGCCGTCGAGACTTACGACCGCCTCAGATTTTTTATTAATTTTTTTTTTCTTCAAATGACACGCATTTTCTATACCGAAACGTTTCCAGTTAATGTAGTCTCCATGTATAATTAGAAAATTATGGGGGCCCCATGTGCATTCAGCTGACTACATTAAAGGTAAGTGCTCAGTCACACTGTAACCATTCCTTATTATTTATTACTTTCACTGTACTGTATCCATTCCTCATTATTCATTACTTTTACTATACTGTATTTCATTGTAGATTATTTTTTTTTTTTTTTTTTTTTTTTTCAAATGACACGCATTTTCTATACCGAATCGTTTCCAGTTAATGTAGTCTCCATGTATAATTAGAAAATTATGGGGGCCCCATGTGTATTCAGCTGACTACATTAAAGGTAAGTGCTCAGTCACACTGTAACCATTCCTTATTATTTATTACTTTCACTGTACTGTATCCATTCCTCATTATTCATTACTTTTACTGTACTGCATTTGTAGGTTATTTTATTTTAATTTTTTTTTTTTTTTTTTATCTATGTCGGACTTACGACCATGTCGGACTTACGACCTGGATTTGGGCCCCTAACCCACAGGGTACCACGGAAAGTGAGAAATGCGTAAAGTGAACAACATAACGTATGGGATTAATTGAAATAGAGACCGGGCCGACCCCCAAACTCCACTTTTTGACGACATACAACTATGTTGTAGTAAAAATATTATCTTAATTTTATGATGGTATGCACACACAATTAATAATTAAGTGAAATATCAATAATATTGCGTTTTTTAACACTTACATTAGCAGAAAAGATGGCTGGGCACACGGGGATGGGCGGTTGGTTCCGAGGCAGAGGGCAGATTATTGGCCCTCACCTGTATCACTTGTATCACTATCCACCACAGAGGCTTGCAGGGCCTCTTTGTCAAACCCCTCAAAGTCAAATAAGTCCATATCCTCACTATAATTATCACTATCACTGACTTGGGCCGGCTGTGGTGGGTGGTGGGTGAAGAACTCGGTAATGTTTTGATGACTGGGCGACCTTGTGCGCACCATGCTCACGCCGCTTACACAATATGGCGGGAGGTTTGGATCCAAAATTGGCGCGGCTCGCCAGCCGCTCTCCGCGTAAAGGGGTACACGCACCGTGGAATGTGAGCATTCCTGTTTCGGCAGGGTACCGCGTAAACGTGGAAACGCGGAAGTTGTGTTCTTGTAAAACCGTGCGTTCTAGAAATTCGCGCAATAGAAATAACAGGGCTTATGGAGAAAATAGGGTTAGGTGCAGATTACTCAAAATCACACACACAATATGGACTAGGCCTATATGTAAAATAAATATTCTTATTTTCCAGCTGACAGCAAAAAGGTTGTGTCTCCTTTTGATAAGTTCAAGCAATTGGATGCACAGACTTCCCCCCGCCCCGCCAGGTGAGTACCAGACCTAGTGGTTGTGTCTCTCACCAGACTCCTGCAACTGTGGTGATGAATGAGAGAATGTTTGCTGCAGACATGATCACCTATCTCGACTGTCTCTCTTGACTTACTTACTGAGAAAACTTTTTGATTAGCTGATTCACTTAACCACACACACTGAGAAGATCTTTTTGATTAGCTGACTGACTGACTTACTTACTCCCTCACTCACTAATTGAGAGAAACTGACTAACTGAGAGAACATCCATAGTAAACTGATCCTTCACTACCCTCAGCTTAAGGTTTGAACAGCTAAGTTAATGATGGCTAGAACTAATAGTTTTAAAACCTCATCATCACAACCATATCCCTAGAAGAGAGTTTAGGAGGCACCAGCTGCCATGTGGGGCTAAGCGGTAGACAATCTTGCTGCTACACAAACTGTAAACTCCACAACTATTTGGCCTGGTTACAAAGTCATTTCAACACATTAGCAGTCGGTTCCAAGCACCTGTGCACAGCAACCAGTCACCTGCATGCCCATATTGAGAGTTGGGTGCAACCCCTCATTCTTATAAGTATTGTATTGTAATGTATGATAGTTGGCTATGGCCACACACTCCTGAACACTGTAGTGTACTATTTATGATATTATTTGCTATGACCACTTTATCCTGCACTTTACTATTACTCTTTGATATTTCATTATCATATAACAAAAGTTTAAGGTCTGCTAACTTGTTGGTATTTGGCACTACACAACCCAGCACCATGTCAAGAAGTATCCCAACTGTAGATTTATGGCTATCCACCCTAATTCTTGAGTTTCAATTGATTTCTCCAACACTACCTTCCAAGAACTGTGGTCGAGACAGAAAGGTTTTGAACTAATTTATTCACTTAATCCATGCCATCATTATGTGAGCCAGGTGTTCAATTCTTAAACTCTGTGTGGTATGGAGTTATTTTATCCAAACCAGTTATAAAAGAGCTTTTCATAATTAATTCCTCCTTTTGGCCATCTTGTGCCAACTTAGCTGACTCTATTTCTAAGTCTTTTTCACTGCAAGAGAAAGATGTTAAAACATTCTGTCATTCATGGTGTGGTGATGAGACGATACAATACAGTACAGTTTTGTGAATATTTTCTTCCAGGACAAGTAGTTGTAGCAGACTGTGTAGATAGTTAGAGGAAGTGTAGCTTCTGGATCTGCCTTGCTTTCAGAAATATATGAAGATGGTCATAGTGAATGCTGTACATATGAGTATCAACTGCATTCCAGTTTATTTCATTATTTTATTTTGTTATGCAGTATTTTCAGGTTACATGGAATTAGTGTTTGTGGTTCATGATGTATTGTGCTTTTATGTAGACTGTCTTGCTTGTGTGTTGCTGCATTATGACCTGACACAAATAACACTGGGCTGGGTCCCTCTTGTGTATGTTATCTATTATGTTATTATTGTACAAAAAACTGATGTTACATTATATTTTGTTACTTTTTGTAGTTTTTATAAGTTGTCCATCTTAGGTCAGGATTATTTTCTACACAATACAAATCTCCATCATTATTCCTGGACACTCCTCCACTTACTATTACTGTACAGGACATTAATTTTGTCATTCTTGGCAGATAATCTTTTTATCACAATCAAGTCTCCAAGGCGTGGATGAACCTCACCACATGATACACTAACTCCTCTTGTGTTTTTCCCAGTCCCTTTGCCATAGCCCTGCCAATTATAAGACTCAATGCTGCCACAATCAAAAAAATCATCCTAGACTTCTGTAAGCGAGCCACAGCTGAGTACGAGAGCAAGGTAGAGTTGGCATCCCGTGGTTCCCCTGTGTGTACTCTTAGATAGAACGTCGCCCCTACCTACCTACCTACCTGCTCTCTCCCTCTGTCACTCCCCGGTGTGGTTCCCTCCCCATCTACTTTTCTCTTGCCCTGTCAATAGCTAGAAGACGAACCCTCCTAATTAGTACAGAATATTAATTGTTCAGTTACTTCACATGCTCTCCTACCTCATAAAGCCTGTGAATATGTGTGACACACTGTTTTCAATTAAGACTCAATTTATGGGTTTAAAGGGAGCAAGATGCCATTTTTGGAAGCTATGTATGTACAGTATATATACCGGTAAGACATTACTCGTGTGTCTTCACAATGTACTAAAAATCACTATTGTACTGTCATGTTAAATGAGCCGTTAAGGTGACCCATAAACAATGAACCTAAATATTTGTTTAGGATCTCCTTAGAGGTTGCTAGTTAACACGACACTGCTGAGTGTTAGTTCCATAGTCGCCACATTTATGTCTACTGTACAGTACTGTACTGTACAAACCTAAGCTTTAAAAACAGCAATTTACCACCTTTAACCCCCTGAAATGATACTTTCAGCATCTTTGTCATTAACATTGCCATGTGGAATCACTGATAGATTATAAATTAACAATAAAGGCTTATTAGCTACAAAAAGCTATTTACAGAAAGTATATAGTTTGTAACATGTACAGTATAATACTTCTTAACTTAGTTTAGGAATCCAAAATACATCTTCTTTCCTCACTATTGTGTAATATAGTGTGTACAGTAGTATGCAGACACTGAACATCTTAGCATTTACATTTAGATAAACAATGTCTTAGACACTTAACATTACAACTCACACTGGAAAGTAACTGGATGCGGACGTACAAGAGTGAGTTACTGTGCTTTGTTATCTGTATAAAGGAAAAGGATATTTCATGTGTAGATTAGCTTGCTTTTGTTACATACTTAAATTTGCACAATGGATGCTTTATGTAATTACAGTGTATCATAGAAAATAATGATAAATTAGTTTAGAAATTTTTTTCATTGCAGTATATTTTCTTCTATTAGATATGTTAGATTTCATTATGTGTCTAGAGATGTAAGAATTAGGAGTCTTACATTAGTTAATGTTTGTGTTGTTTAATAACCCAGAAATGCTGATTAGGACGGTGAACAACTTCGCTGCATTACTGTACCTGGTGAACAATTAGTGCTTTAAGTTTCCCCAAGACCTATAATGTTATGTCAAAGTTCTTCTCTTTTTCTGTCAACTTTGTGTGTGTGGAAGTGTCTTGCAAATCTGTCCTCTATTAACACAATAATATAACACTAGATGTTAGTATACATGAGAGACCGTGTGTAGGGTAACTTGGGAGATATATAGAGCAGAACTGCTGCATGAGCTGTGTAGCACGAGGCACTAACCACCTGGGTGCCTGCTGGCTGGCTGCTCTCTGCTGCCATTGCTGCTGCTACTACCACTGCCTGCTGGTCAGCGCTGCTTCACGGCCTCTTCCTCCTTCTACAGCTCTAAGTCGAAGTCTGCGGGTGGTGGCCCACTTTTCCAATTATCCAGTCAACTGAGTCGCAGCGCCTCTGGGGTGAAGGATATGCTGCTGACGTGGTGCCAGTGCCGCACCCGCGACTATAAGGTACACAGGGCCTTCTACACCAGGCTCCATGCATGTAGCCCCCGGACCCCACAACTGCGTAACACTGCACTACTCATCCACGTGACATTGTACTGTCCCAGCCCACTTTGTGACAGTGGTAATACAGACTCAACAACTGTAAACTTCAGAAATTGTGAGACACCAACAAATAGCATTGAGCTTGGTGGCTGTCACAGACAAGAGAAGAGTATCTTAAGAGGACAGATTCCATCATTATTCAGTATTCTACTTTTGTGGATTAATTATCAATATCTGAGTCGATCATATTTAGAGAAAAGAAACCTAATTTTGTTGTTACTACAGATGATTAAAACTATCGCCCGGCACTCGAATAACCATTACTTGTCTGACTATACAACATACCTGATTTTTCAGAGTATCATTGATAACTTAGTGTAGCGCCGACTTCACTACAGTACAGTACAGTATTACCATATACTGTAGCAATTTGACTCAATGACTTAAATGTTTTCTTATAATTCACATGTTGCATTTTTGTCATTTTTTACTCAAAAGTCGTGGTGATCGAGAACTCAGCCAATACAGTACAGTACCAGCAAGAATCTTCATCACACAACTGAGCTTTTGGTGGCTTAATATTATTATAGAAAACACGCATTTATTTCAAAGCTTAAAAGTAAGATAATTTAATATTTTTTTAATATGAACACAAATCTGATTTAGTGTATATTGTATGCATGTGTAGTGCACATGTGTTCATGTATACAGGGTATTGTAAATAAATGTATTCATTATACAGTTTGCTGATACAGTACTAGAAGTGTGAAGAGTTGCACATAAGTAAAAATTCCTTTCTACATAAATGTATACAGTAATTGTGACACGTAAACAAAACATTATTGTATTGGGTGTTGCTTGTTACGTACTTATGTATATATTGTGAGCGTGTGTCAGTGTTTATATTGTACAGTACAGTCAGTCCAAATCCTTCAGCCTAATGGGCACTCCACCTCTGCCTGACACTGCCCACACCAGGGAGCAGTAATGATCATGTGTCGTGTTCTGCATGTGCTTAGAAAAAACATAGAATGTGTATAATTTTAGTCAATAATCCAGTTAGAATATTATAAGCTGCCTGTTGATAATGCTTATAGAACTGAATAAATAAAGTCAAGAAATGCACAAACTGTATAATAATAAACTTGCCTCAGTGTCCACATTTGCAAAGGTTCATGTAATAAATATTTCTTGTAAATGAAGATGTATGAACACACTTACAGTAAATGGTTGACTAAAGCTAAAGTACAAACTCATTATCAAAATTACATTGGGTTCTTTAATTAGATATTTCCACTTAATACCATAAAAATTAAGGTAGAGCATACATGTACTGTAAAGTACCACATTTTTTAAATATTCCAATACCTTAATTGATTCTGATAAATGGGGTTAAGTATTAAGTGTTAAGTTAGTGGGTGTTAATTCTGTGTTTTAATTGCAGCCAACCAGTAAAGTTAAAAAAAAAATATATATATATTTATTTGAGAGGAATATTCATAGTACAGACTTTGGAGAATCTTTCCTCTGGACCCTTGGCAACTTATTGTCTTCTTCTGTTCATAACTTAATACCAAACTTTTTTTTAATCTTCAAAATCATCATTTATGATTTTACTCATTTTCTGGAGTAACTTGCATTAATATCTTGAAATGGCAGATTTTAACACAGTTGCCACCTTGTTTCTTTGAAATCTGTCTGACATGTTTCTGTGCACTTCAGGCTTAAATTTCACAAATTAATGCAGAATTTGCCCTAACAATTGTTACAATAATACACCAAAATATTTGTAAGTTATATTTGACTAAATTACCCCTAAAAGTGTTGTGTAAGGCAACAACAGACAGTCTTACATACTATATCAGAATCTTCCATAACTATCCTCAAGATAAAAATTATATTTTTCATTCTTAATCCTTCCTGTCAACCCTATTCTTAATTTCTTCCTCCATTAAACAGGGAGTAAAGATTGAGAACTTCAGCACAAGTTGGAATGATGGTATGGCCTTCTGCGCTCTGATCCACCATTACTACCCAGATGCATTCGACTTTGATAAACTTGACGCAAAGAATCGTCGTTACAACTTTGAACTTGCTTTCCGAGTGGCAGAGTGAGTATGCTTTAGGTCTTCATGGGTTAAATCTGTAAGTGCTGACTTAGGTATAAATTACAGTAACTTTCATGTGATGATAGTGTTTGTGAATAAAAGTTATCAAATCTGCTTAGCCTATAATGTACAGGTACTGTATTTATGTGCTTCACTGTTCAATTCAAGAGTAAAGTATTTATTAAGAGTAAACCTGAGACTAAGATACTTTATATCTTGGCATCACTAACCTTATTAGTCATTCAAAGTAGATTGAAGTTGCCTATGTATCTTATTATCATACATTAACAGTTTATATCTTGCACTACTGTACAGCACAGTACTGTACTGTACTCAGCTTCATACGGTATTGCACTTATTTCTTTTCTTACATTGTGAACAATACTAAATTTATACAATACTCCTGTATATTTATTATATAATTATGTAGTCTTTTCAATGAAAACTTCTTATTCTAATATAATTCCGGTTATAAACAATTTTTAATATTATTTTTGCTTATTTCAGTGAAAAAGCTGGTATTATGCCCCTCCTAGATGTTGATGACATGGTCATGATGAAGAAGCCAGACTGGAAGTGTGTCTTCACTTACGTCCAGAGTCTCTACAAGCGTCTCAAGGACGAATAAGTATGGCACTTAGAATAAAAACTAATGACACAAAGGAATTTTTATATCAGTTTTATAATAAAGAGTTTCCAACTCATTTTCTAGTACATATACAGTAATTCGGAAGATGAGTCCCATGGACTTATGGCATAAATCATATAGAGTTTAGTCTTAAATGTGTCGTAGCTTCCATGACAAGTGGTAGCAAGCAGGTGACCATGTCATGTGCACCCTGGAGCGTCTGTAACCATTTTATACGTAGTAGTTGTCCTGTAGCGTATCTGTACTTCACTATTTCTTAGATCTGATAAAAATACCACTCTAGTTATGTGTTTACCTTATTTATTTATTTATTTCTTCTCCATACTTTTCTGGGACCAAATTTACAAACAGTCATGAAGTCAAGTGTGTTTCAACATGACTGAACAGTTTAGAATATGAAAATAGTTAATGAAATACAATATAAGAATGTAGACTGAGGCAGTATTGGAAATTATTCAAATTTCCAGAGCGTTAGAGGCCATATCAATGATTTCAAGTGTGCTGACTGAGTTATGGAAGTACCATGGGAGATTCACCAGTTTGAAAGAATTTCAGCATTGTCTCATCATATACTGGTATACATTATTGCATATAAAATTATTACACATTATTGCACAGTCTGAAAAACTATAAATTGGTGAATATCCCAAAATCTGGTTCTGAAAATTATTTGTTTTATAAACTAGTTTGAGAATCTTGTATGTTATACTTCAAGTTGCTGTAAGAAGTATACAATCACATGTGAACAGTAGTAGTAGTACAGTAGTAGTAACAAACTTGCTCCCACATTTATCTAACATTTGTGTTATACAAAGTTCTCATAATACAGAGCTCAATATATTTGTCTGCAAAGATATATCTTTAGTTTTAGCATCATTGAAATGAATAACCATTACTAGGGTTAGGGTGATGCTTATTATATCAGGCTATAATATATTATGTTTTATTTCTGAACGTGGTGATAAAGTTGCTGCTAGAATAGTCTCTTAGGATTTTACTGTGTTTCAATCTACCATATCCTGATGCTTATATCTTCCCTTAGATTTATTGGAAAATTGTTTATACTACACATTATGTCTTGCTTGTTCATAATACTACATAATCTATCTTGCTTGCAGAAATTACTATTGAAAGTTTCTGTCAGCATGCACAATTTTAACCTAAATTAAACAACTTTATTCCTTCTTAAATCACACAGCCGGGAGTGGTCATTCATATTACCTTTCACAGCTAAATCTAGTAATTTGTGCTGTGATATTATTGTGACATAATTTGGTGCCAATCAATGTCTTAATAGACAAGTCTGTCAGTGGACAGTTTATATTAAGATGAATTTTTAATGCTTCTATGTTAGTATATCAAAGGGAACGTAGGACTTGCAGTGTGTTGGGTCTCGGTTGTCTTTTTTTTTCTTTTTTTTTCTTTTGTATAAAGAGACGATGATGGCATCAGTTCCCATAGTTTTACAAGATATATTTTATGTATGTAACATGTTTCATAAAGTTATTTCTAACCCATTTCATATCTTAATGAAGATTCTGGCTTCAAATATATCATAGTCTTTCTTGTTGTAGGTAAGAAGGATATTAAAAAATGTTAGTGATACAAACTTGTGTGCTTAACCATAATACTGTATGCTACTTCCACGCTTACAGAGCCTCACTCATAAAAACTTCTGGTAGAATAAATGTCAATAAAGTAAATGCTGCCTTTCAGTAACCTTTTCAACATTTCCTAACAATATCTGGTGAAATATTATAATGTCAAGGAGACCTTTGCCAAAGACATTCTCCATAATAATGGACCATTTTCTTATAGTTTACACTGTACAGTTTAAGACTTTGTTTGGGTTAACTACAATTATTTTAGTTTAAGAGAAACAAAGTGGAAACTGACTAGTGTGCAGATGCATCACACCAGACACATGTTAAATATTCGCCAGCTATAGTGAGCAAGACCACCACAAGACTTACTGACCCTTTTCAGTCACATTCATACCACAACACATTAATGATCAGGTCCAATATATATCTTCTTTGGATGGTATCAGACAGTAATTCTCTTAAATTTGTGGAAGATGATTCACTTATTCGACAGCCAGACATAAAAGATTTAATTCTAGTCCCAGCTGCTTTCTGTAATATTCAGAGACTCATCAGCTCATGTTAAGTTTACCGACCAGTACACCATCATTATACATATACCAAAACACCATCAGGGCTACATAAACCAATACACCATCAGGGCGACATAAACCAAAACCATCAGGGATACATAAACCAAACACCATCAGGACTACATAAACCAATACACCATAAGGGCTACATAAACCAGTACACCATCAGGGATACATAAACCAATACACCATCAGGGCTACATAAACCAGTACACCATCAGGGATATACAGTCAACCCTCACCTTACGCGGTCCCACATTCCGCGTTTCCACGTTAACGCGGTGCCCTGCCAGAACCCAGGATGCTCACATTCCGCGGTGGGTGTACCCCTTTACACGGTGAAGTATAATTTATTTAGCTCATAAAATTCATACAAATTATCCGGCCAGAATGTAATTTACATTGCTGGAATTCTTACAATTTGATGATCATTTTGAATATAAACATCATAGATTTTGCATTAGACATACAAATTTTAGATATAATGTTTACTCTTGAGTAAATATGTTATCTTTTGTGCAAAATATATGACATTTATATTCAAAATATTCCTGGTCTTACAAGGAATCCAGCAATGTCAATTATATTATCATAACTTTAGTCTGATTTATTATTTATTACTAAAAAGGTAAACAGTCTGGTATTCCCACACATTTATCTAATAGGGACTGTTGGGGGGGGGTGGGAGGGACCGGCGACCGACCATCTGTTACCGTGTGAAGAATATTTTTTTTTTTATTAACTGAAGATTTTTATTTTAGCTCATAAAATTCATACAAATTACCCGGCCAGAATATAATTTACATTGCTGGAATTCTTACAATTTGATGATCATTTTGAATATAAACATAGATTTTGCATTAGACATACAAATTTTAGATGTAATGTTAACTCTGAGTAAATATGTTATCTTTTGTGAAAAATATATGACATTTATATTCAAAATATTCCTGGTCTTACAAGGAATCCAGCAATGTCAATTATATTATCCTAACTTTAGTTTGAGGTATTATTTATTACTATACCTGGTTTTCCCCCCAAAATTTCTCAGAGGGAAGAGCCAGCGAGTGTAGTGTGAGAAGAGGGGGAGGGAGTTGAGTCCATTATTTGAATGGACATTAGCTTGGCGACTGTATTTCTCTATTTCTCTTAAGTATTAATTGTGTGCATGTACCATCATAAAATTAAGATGTTATTTTTACTAGAACATAGGTATTGTGTTGGAAAAAGTGGAGTTTGGGGGTCAGCTGGTCTCTATTTCATTTAATCCCATATGTTATGTTATTCACTTTACGCGTTTCTCACTTTCCGCGGTACCCTGTGGGTTACATTAACTGCGTAAAGTGAGGGTTGACTGTATAAACCAATATACCAGGGCTACATAAACCAAAACACCATCAGGGATACATAAACCAAATACCATCAGGACTACATAAACCAAAACACCATTAGGGATACATAAACCAGTACACCATCAGGGATACATAAACCAAACACCATCAGGGATACATAAACCAGTACACCATCATGGCTACATAAACCAAACAACATCCGGATTACATCAACCAAAACACCATCAGGGCTACATAAACCAATACACCAGGGATACAAACCAAAACACCACAAGGGCTACATAAACCAATATACCAGGGCTACATAAACCAAAACACCATCATGGCTACATAAACCAAAACACCTATCAGGGTTACATACACCAATACACCATCAGACCAACATAAACAAGTACACCATCAGAACAACATAAACCAATACACCATCAGGGCTACATAAAACAAAACTCCATCAGGGCTATATAGACCACAACACCAACAGGGCTACATAAACCAGTACACCATCAGAGCAACATAAACCAATACACCATCATGGCTACATAAAACAAAACTCCATCAGGGCTATATAGACCAAAACACCAACAGGGCTACATAAACCAATACACCATCAGGGCTACATAAACCAATACACCATCAGGGCTACATAAACCAATACACCATCAGGGCTACATAAACCACTATAGTACACCATCAGGGCTATATAAACAAACTCCATCAGGGCTATATAGACCAAAACACCAACAGGGCTACAAAACACACCATCAGGGCTACATAAACCAATACACCATCAGGGCTACATAAACCAATACACCATCAGGGCTACATAAACCAATACACCATCAGGGCTACATAAAACAAAACTCCATCAGGGCTATATAGACCAAAACACCAACAGGGCTACATAAACCAATACACCATCAGGGCTACATAAACCAATACACCATCAGGCTTATGACCAAAACACCAACAGGGCCATAAACCATACACCATCACATAAACAAAACCCAGGCTATAGACCAAAACACAACAGGGCTACATAAACCAATACACCATCAGGGCTACATAAATCAATACACCATCAGGGCTACATAAACCAATACACCATCAGGGCTACACAAACCAATACACCATCAGGGCTACATAAACCAATACACCATCAGTGCTACATAAACCACTATAGTACACCATCAGGGCTATATAAACCACTACAGTATGCCCCTCAGGGCTACATAAACCACTACACCATAAGGGCTACATAAACCAATACAGTATACCATCAGAAAAATATAAACCAATACAGTACACCACCAGTGCTACATAAACTACTGCAGTACACCATCAGGGCTATATAAACCACAAAAGCACTCTCAGCAGGGTGGTCAAATACAATTGTATTTGTATTTTAATTGTATTTAAATACATTTTCACGTATTTGTATTTGTAATTGTATTTTGGCACCTAGAAGAAAAAAAGTATTTTGTATTTGTATTTGCATTTTGACACTTGTTAGTGTTACAGGCAGTAGGTGGGCTAGTTTAAGGCTACTGCCTTTTGCCTCTTCCATAAACAAAGGAAAAAATTTGGGATATTTTGTATTGCTACTACAGACAATTTCCAGAGGATGAAAACACTTGAATTTGTTTTATTTTTGTAATTTTGCTTTTATTTTATTACTGCTATTAGTTATCTGCAAGCAGTAACGCTGGAACATTCTGGAATCTGTTTTTCAGCATCTTTCCTGCTTGTTTTGAATTCTAAATGTCACACCACTTTTCCGCCGATTCTCGGTCTGACTCTCGGCTTGTCGCTGGAGTTAGATCACAGGCTCAGATCGAAAGCATCAAGGTCAATCTGGGCAGAATGTGCAGTTGCAGTGCCCGTGACTCCCGAGTCC